ACAGCTCATAGACAGTGTTGGCCCAGAGAAAGACACCCAACACGGGTGGCAGAGCAGGAGGGCTTCCCAGAGAGGAATCTTAAAGGATGAATCGGGGGTTTCCAGGTGGACAAGGGGAAAGGCATTCTTTAAGAGGGACAGGCCTGTGCAAACACAGAGGTGGGACATCACACATCTCATTCTGAAACCTGCCAGTGGTTCCGTGTGAGCCCAAGTCAAGAGGGGCTCTGTGTGAGCGGAGACCAGGAGGCAGACAGGGGCCAGACCACAAAGGGCCCTCTGAGGCAAGGAGCCTGACTCCATCCCAGGTACAATGAGAACCCCGCGAGAGCAATTAAACGGGGAGTGGCATGAGTAAATCTGTATCTCAGAAAGATCCATCTAAATATATAATAAGAAGCATCCAAGTAGTTCTGTTCTTTGTTGGGCGAGTCTGTTTGGGGGAATCTAGTCAAAGGAAATAATCCAAAAAGAAAACAAAGGCCATTTGTCTGAAGATTTTCCCAGGAGCACTGTTTATCATAATGACAAAATGGCCAAAGTCCGAGTGGCCAACTCTGGACAAACGAGGCATGACCCCACCCTCAAGGTGCTCCCATAGGAAAGAAAGATAAATAAAAATATTGACAGTGCAAGGGGGACAGGGCTGATGCCTGGAGAGACAGGTGAAGGGCTGTGGGGGGTTAGTGATAAGAAAGTTCAGCTGGACAGACCCAGGGAAGGCACCCTGCAAGAGGTCCCTTTAAGGTACCTTGAAGCTGGTAGGTAGGATTAGGCCTTAAAGAGAAACGGAGAGTGAGAAAGTGTAGTCTAGACAGGGAGATGAGTTCACACCTTGAGCAAAATCCCAAATACACATGGGGAGCTGTGAGTGGTTCAGTGTGCCATCACTCTGTTGTAAAACACAGAGGCACAGGATCTATCACGGGCATTCCCAACTTTAGACAAAACCAGGAAATTCAGCCAGTAATTAAAACACTACAATCCTGTATATTCATACAACCTCTAAAGGTATGTGAGCCACAGCAGCTCATAGATCAGGGCACAGGTAAGGCAGGTGACCAGTGATGTGAAATCCCAGGTGGGACTTGTACCCACTTCTCTCTCACTCAGGAAAGCACAGCAGACTGCCAGCGAGGGAGAGGGAGGTGATCAGAGGGAAACCCTGAACCTGCTCTGATTAGTATCCAGAATTTCTCTAAAGAAGGTCTACGAATGGCCAACAAGCACACGAAAAGATGCTCGACATCACTAGGCAGTAGGGAAATGCAAATCAAAACCACAACGAGACACCACTTCACACCCACTGAGATGGCTGTAATAAAAAATGGAAAATAACTAGTGTTGACAAGGATGTGGAAGAATTGGAACCTTCACACACTGCTGGTGGGAATGTAAAGTGGTGCAGCCACCGTGGAAAATAGTTTGGGAGTTCCCCAAAAGCTTAAGCATGGAACTACCATATGACCCAGCAATTCCAGAGTTAGGTATATACCCAAAACAATTGAAAACAAGTACTCAAATCTTCGTACACCAATGTTCATAACAGCACTATTCATGATAGCCAAAAGGAGGAAACTATCCAAATGCCCCCATCAATGAAAGAATGGATAAACAAATTGTGGTATATCCATACAATGGAATATTATTCAGCCATAAAAAGGATGAAGTACTGACACATGCTACAACATGGATGAACTTGGACAACATTATGCTAAGTAAAAGAAGCCAGACACAAAAGGTCACATATTGTATGATTCCATTTATATAAAATATCCAGAATAGGCAAATCTATAGAGACAGAAATCAGTTTAGTGGTTGCCAGGGGCTGGTGGGGTGGGGATGAGGGGAATGGGAGTGACTGCTTAATGGAAATAAGGTTTTCCTTGGAGTGATGAAAATGTTTTGGAACTAGATACAGATGATGGCTGCACAGCATTGTGAATGTACTAAATGCCACTGAATTGTACACATGGAAATGGCTGGTTTTGTGTTACGTCAATTTCACCCCAATAAAAAAATTAAATCAGCATATCCAAATGTCCAACAAATATATGAACAGGTGATCAACTTAATTATCAGGAAAAATTAAAACTACAGTAAGATTCTAATACGTACCCATTAGAAAGGCTGACATTCAGCCCAGTGACAAGACCAAGTGCTGGTGAGGATGCAAAGAAATGGGGTCTGTCCTACCAGACTGGTGGCCGTGTACCTCGGTACAAGCACAGTGGAAGACACGCTGCCACTGTCTGCTCAGCTGGAGGATTTGCATACCCTGTTACCCAGCACTCCACTCCTAGACATGGAACCAACAGAAATGCATGCACACGTGCACCAAGAGAAATGTACAAGAATGTTCAGAGCCACACTACTATATTAGCCCAAAATGGAAACAACCCAAATGTTGTTGGAGAAAAATGGATAAATAATGTATGGCATATTAATACAGTGCACTATTATACAGCAATGAAGATGAATTAACTACAGCCACATGCAACAGCACAAATGAATCTCAAAACTTAATATTTAGTGAAAGAAGCCAGACACCAAAGAATACAGTCTGCATTTATAAAGTTCAAAATCAAGTAAAATGGAACGTTAGAATTTGGGGATACATGTTTAGGTAGCAAAGTTATTTTTTAAAAGTAAGGAAGCAATCACTGTAAAAGCCAAGGTGATTACCTCCCAGGGGAGGAAGGGAATAACCATAGCCAAGGTGCACGAGGGAGCTTCTGGGGGGCCATGCTATTTCTTGACCTGGGTTATGTGGATCTTGGTTCTGTGATAAATCATTGCACTGTACTCTTTGTGTGCGCTTCTCTGAATGGAGGTTATATTTCACAATAAAACAGTTTAAAGAAAAGTAAATAATTTGCACATATCAGCACTGTATTATCAGGAACAAATTACTTGTGACATCATCTTCCTGCCCCTAAAACAACCACCTTATCATCTAAAATGGCAGGTATTCCAATGACACTGTAACTTTACGAGCTCAGCCCTGACCCATAAGGGGTGGGTGCAGGGGACAAGGGCCCCTTTGACAAAGGTCTCTTTAAATTGGGTGGGCCAGGAAACCCTCAGGAGCTGAGAAGCCTTGGGACCTTGGGCCTCAGTTTCCTCGTCTGGAGCACAGGCCCAGTCCCCACCTCCTGGAGTGATTGTGAGGACTGGATGAATGAACTATGAACGTGCTCACACTTCTGCCTGAACACACGAGTGGTTTATAAGTGTCAGCCTTATTAAAGTGCATGCAAAACTTGGTTTGCAGGAGGATACTTCCCATGTCTAGGAAGAGTCTCTTCAGAGTCCCAAAGCGACGCTGAGTGCCCATGAGTCGCACATGGCCCTCCCCGGGCCCTGTTCGCTCCTGAGTTTCCCGGCACTCCCTTTTAACATTAGGGATGGGAACAGGACTTCCTCAGTGTTAGAAACAACAGCCCTGACCTGACATCAAGGGATCCAGCCTACAAACGTGGGAAGAGAGAGAAACACCAAAGTTTCTTTCCCCAGAACCCTCTTTCTTTGGGGGCTGGGGTTTGCAGCAAAGTTCACGGAAGCCCACGGAACTCGAAGTGGCCCTCTGCGGCCGAGTTGGCAGTACCCTATATCACATGCAAAATTGCAACGTTCCGGCACGGCCCACGGCACTGAGAAGCCAGATCTGCGCTCCAGCTGCCCTCTGATCTGAAAGAGACGCCAGGCTGGACGCTGTGGCAGGAAAAGCTGTCATCGCGTTCGGGTCTTGCTCCCAAAGAGACAATGGTGTGGGCTGTCCCGGGCTTCCTCAGGCACACAATGAGGTACCCAGGGCCACCCACTCAACCCCATTTCCTTCAGGGGGACTCCCCCTCTCCCCACACACTTCTACTGAGGCTGTGCACTCAACTCCTAAATCCAGACAGGGTCAGAGGCTACTGTTGGGAGAGTGTGGCTCTCCTGCAAAACCGCATGAGAAACGGTTTGAGCAAAGAAGGATCAGAATCTAGAGATCCGGGTTCAAGTCCTGCCTTTTGGACTGGCCACTTCCTAAGCCTCTCTCCTCCGCAGTGTCCTCTTCTGTAAAAATGCCTGCACTGTTTTCTAACACAGCTACCACAAGGATCAAGCCGTAATTTCTATCACTTATTCTGTGCCTAGTATGTGCCAGGGTGTGGAGAGCATACTATTTCTAATCTCTCTTTTAATCTTCACAGTATCCCTAGGAGGTAAGGTAGTCTAATTATCGCCTTTTTTGGATGAGGAAACTGAGGCACAGAGGGTGAGATTCGTTGCTCAAGGTCACTCAACCCAGCCACAATTCAAACCCAGGCAGCCTGACACACCATAACCGAAATCTATTTTAACTCAGACCTACTTTTCGTCCAACCGCCTCTGGGTCCTGGTGGGGAAAGTGAGGCACAGGGAACAGAAAGGACCAGATCCCCTGGCTCCCAGCTCTGCCCGTCGCCCGCAGCGCCACTGCCCGCGGTGGATGGGACTCCCTAGGTAACTCAGCGCTGAGCTAGGCATGGGGCAATTCAGTCCCGTTATTTCTTGCGCCGCAAAAGCGCCAGGTGTCTGTGCTCGCGGTTACGCTTCCACACCTGTGTACAGAGAGGGCACCAGACCTGCCCCGACGGTGAGCCGGCCGGCACGCACGACCTGAGCGCGGGCGCTGGGGGAGCGGGAGGTAACTGTCCCCGCAGAGCCGCTCGCGCTGTCACTCTGCTTCCGAAGTCCCTCTCTGCCCAAGCTGGAGAGGCCGCGCCTAGCTCAGACATCTCGGGTGCCCGGACGGCGCTCCGCCCGCCCCGGCTGCCCGGGGGCTCCCGGCCGCGGCTCGAACCCCCGCACTGCCCGGGGAAGCCGCGGCAGGACGGCCAGTGCGCGCTGAGCGGCGAGGACTCCCTTTTATGTCCAGGAATGAGGCGCGCACCGCAGCCGCGCCCGCCGCCGAAACCAACTTCCCCGGGGTGCGGAGGCGGCCGGGGCCACCCTCAGGCCGGGTCGCTTACCTGTCGCGGAGCGGGTCCGGGTGACAGCCGGGAGAAGCGCGGAGACGGAAAGCAGCAGCAGCGGCCGCCAGCACTGCCCGTTCCTCCTGCAAGAAGCGGCCAAGGGAGAGAAGGTGAGGCGGGCGGGAGGGGCGCGGGGCCGGGGCGCGGGGAGCGCGTCCTACCTTGGCGCCATCTCGCGGGTCTGCCGGGTCCCCGAAGGCGCCGAGCTCTCGGAGGGCGAAGGGGCGCTGCGCGCGGGCCGCCGCTCGCCCTTCCTGCAGGGAACAAAGGCGGGGCTGGGCAGCGGCGGGCAGGCTCCGGCTCCCGGCCCGCGCCCTGACTCACCCGCGCTCTGAAATCCGACTCCGCCGCGCCCTGCTCTTCCCCGCGCGCCCCACCTCGGGCAGCGGCGCGCACTCCCGCCGGGGATCCTGGCCGCGCCGACGGCCTCCCCACGCCCCTTTCCCCTTCGACGGACGCGCGCTCCCCGGCCGCCGCTGCCACCCCGGGCGGCCTTATGTAACCTGCGAGAAAAGTCCCGGGCCCGCGCTCGTCTGGGTCAGCCAGGCACGGCTCCCTCCCGCCCTCACGTCTGCCCCTGTCGGGGCTGCCCCGCGGACGAAGCACTCTCCTTTCAGCGGCCGGTGAAATGCTCTCAACAGCCCAGGAGGCTGGAATCACGGGGATTTCCCTACATGAGGGACAACGAAACTGAGGCTCAGAGAGATGGAGCCAATGTCTCAACGTCACACAGCTGCACTGAGCGCCTGACTGCTGCGCCCTGCCCTGCAGACCTGACACGCGAACCCCCTGAGTGGCCCCCCTTGGGGCTATAGTGATGGTACATATAAATAAATGCAGCAAAGATAATCATAATAAAATTTTTAAATATACCTAATATTCCGAGGTTTTCCTCTCTATACCTTGCTTGCACCCCACCCCCACCCCCACCACTGGAATGTAAGCAACAGGAGGGCAAGAGTTTACGTTAGTTTTGTTTTCTGCCTAAAACAGTGCCTGGTAGTAGGATTTGGCGATAGCATTGGATGAATGAAGGAGCACGGTCTTAGGTGAGACACCAGTCTAGGTGCTGTGATGATGCGGGAGAGATGAACCAGTCCCAGCCTCCAAAAGCCGCCTGTGGTGTGTGTGTGTGTATGTGTGTGTGTGTGGGGGGGGGTCACAGGGCAGACTGTCCCACCTGTACAGAGCTTAGCACAGGGCCTGGCACTGGCTAAACCCTCAAATGGTGACTTTTTATTATGACGATGGTGACCACCAGGCTCAGTAGTGTAGGATCTTTGGGTGAGAGAAGGCATCACTGAGGTCTGCTGAGACCTGGACAGTTCTGAAGCCAGGCAAGCCCCAAGGGCCTCTCTTCTGATGCACCAAGTAGCCACCGTGGGCTTTGGCTCTGGTTGATTCCTGGTTTTCATTTCCAGAGGGCGAGTTACCACCTGCCAAGTGAAAAGGTAATTTCAGTGAGCCCCGCAGAAATGGGATGGGGATGGACATGGTAACTAACATTTATTGAGTGCTGCTTATGTCCCAGGCCCTGTGCTAAATGCTTTTCCTGTGTCATCTCCTTTAGTCCCCACAACAGCCCTGGAAAGGTGGTACTGCAGTGATCCTCATTTCACAGGTGCCAAAGCCGAGGTTTAAAATGTGCCCAAGCTGGTGTATGACAGGTGCCAACACCCGTGCTCTTCACCACTCAGTCATATTAGCTGTCTGTGAACAGGAGGATTAGACCCACTCCTCACCCTCAAGAGAAAAATTGCACTGGAGACACAGAGCACTCAGGCATGAAAGGGTTCCCACCAGCCCTGGCAGGGAAGGCTCCGCAGGGAGCTCTGGCCCAAGGGTCAGGAGCCTGGGTTGCAGTCCAGTTCTGGCCCTGGCTGCAGAGTGAAGTTGGACAAATCCTGCCCTTGTCTGACTTTTTATTTCTTCATCTATATAATGGACATAATGATCCTGATGTGGGAGGGTGACTGTGGGTCTTGATGAGATAACTTGCACGCCACAGTGCTCTGTCTACTGTAAAGTGCTGTACAGATGTGAGGGGTCAGGTCTGGGATTAATCTAAACAGTCTTCAGAAAAGGAAGAAATTGGCATGACCTGGAGAAGGCAGGAGAGGCTTCCGTATGGGAGTGAAGTTTACCTAGGCTCTGGGGTCTGTGGAGGGTTTGGGGGCAAACAGGAGGGAGGAAAATGCAATACTCAGAGGGTCACACACCCAAGTAAATGGATAAGTAAATGGATAAGAACTACCTGGGCTGGAGAGGGAACCAGCAGGCAGGGCAGTGTTGGCGTGCTAAGACCGTCAATGGCAGGCCGATTGATGGGTGTGCACGTGGCCTTGAAGGCCATGGAAATCACTGGTGTTTCCCGAGTATTTTGGAATTCCAGAACATTTACTATTGGATGGAGCCCTAAGAAACCTAATCCAGCCTCCTCCTCCTATCCCTGTTTTATTGATTGAGAAACTGAAGCCCAGAGAGGACATGCAATTTACCAAGTCACCTATCCAGTAAGTGACAGATTGACAAGTCCCAGAGCCAGGGCAGAGATACGATAGAGAAGGAGGGAATGGGCAAAGTCTTCGAATGTTGCAGAGTTCATACAGATTCAGGAGATCCTTAAAGGTGGTGAATTCCCTGTCACTGGAGAGACAGACCCCTTAACAAACAAGAGGTGGCAGAGAAGGTAGGAATTACGAGCCTGAGCTCTGGGTGAATCTTGGCTCTCTTATTTATGAGCTATATGAAATGTGGGCAGATCTGTAAAGTGGAGATGACAGAGGTTCCTTTCTCCTAGGTTGCTGGGAGGATTCAAGGTGTTGCTGAGATAGAAGCATTGATCAGAGTCTCTGGTGCAAGACAATGCTCAATGGATGTTAGCCTCTATTATTGGTGGTGGTGATATGCTGGCAAGAGACCGACGAGAGAGGCAAGACGCTGGCCCCAGCTCTCAAGGGGTTGAGGCACCAGCAGCCAAGGCAGCTGTAGAGCTGAGATGGCCCCACATGAAACCAACACACAAGACAAAGTACATTCTAACAAAATTGTCCTTCTTTCTTATTCTGTTCGTGTTCTCTGTGAGTATGAATTCTCTCCCACTTGCAGCCATTCTGTGCTGGACATGCCCCATTTTATTATGAATTATGAATCATAGGAAATTTGCTATCTTAGTTCTATATGTCTCTATTGCTTGTACAGTACCCCATCAACTGGGAATATAGTTGACTTTCTTACAACTGTATATCTATATTGCTTAGAAAGTGCCACACCAACTACAATTATATAATAATCCTATGGTTCTGTTTGATACTTAAAGCCAGAGGTTGTGAACTGGTGGCCATGGTCTCAATTTGGCCCACAGATATGTTGTATTTGGCCTGCCTGGTGTCAACCTCCAAATTAAATTAGTTAGCATTATTTGATAATTAGGTAATTTTATATTAAAATCCAGATTTCTGGCTTCTTTTTAAAATTTTGGAAAACCTGGCAACATGGAGCTTACATTCCCTGTGCCAACGGTTGATTGGCATTGAAAAGGGGCTGCTGCCTTCAGTTAAGGCAATGATCTCTAGTTTGCCATGGTCCTCAGCACTCCCTATTGTTCTCCAACACCAAGGCTCAGAATCATTTGCCATTTATCATCACACAGCATTCTGTCTTTTCTTATAAAAAAAGAGAAAAGTGGAATAGATTGAGTGTTCACATATCTATTAAAAATAGGTAAAAAATAAGATATGTAGATAAAGTGGGGAGCCATGTTTCAAGAAAGACGTGGAAGAACGTATTTCTAAATGTTTACTATACACATAAAGTATATCTACATTGAAAAAAATGACAACTAAGATGCCGTTGTGAAACAGACCTGGTCCCCCTCAGTTATGTATGTTACCTGAAGGATGAAGGAATAGCTGCATTTTGATTGATGGGCTTGACTGTGATCCAATTTATCAGTCCAAGATACAATATGCATAAGGCAGCAGGTTCCTTTACTACTCTGGCAGGGAAGTCCTGTGTGCACACTTCATAGTTTGTTGGTTCTGTGTAAGTATCTGATAACATCCAATTCACTGGATCTAAAGATGAAAGTCCCCAAAGCACATTTGTCCCCTACAAATGACTGGAAATAGATGCCCATTAATATGGCTAATTTTGTGCCTATTTCACCTGGGAAGCCAGACCATGTTCATAGGCAATAGGGCTCTCATTTCAGAGTTGGGTCTGGAGGTGGGAGCTGTGAGCCCAGACTGATGGTGGACAGGGAGTGTGTCCAGCCTGGGAGCTGAAGGGGGACCAAATGGTTCCAGCTGCGGGTGTGGGAGGATTGGGGGCAGGATGCCAAGCAAGGCATTTCACCTCCTGCCAGACTGTGTTTTGAGGGTTTAAGCGATTTCCTTCCATTCAACGTGAAGTTGTAGAAATAGCCAAGAGGAAGCTTCATGTCATACCCAAGCTGGTCTAAATTGTTTACCACGGGTTCTGTACAATCTGAGAGGTCAGGACGTGTAGAGACACGGGCATCTGATCTCCCAGCTCTTCCAGGACTCAGCTAAATCAATGGGCTGTTCCCAAGTGTCCCAGAAAATTCAGTCTCTGAAAGCATTCTTCGGACTGTCTCAAGCAGCTGGAAGGGGCCCTAAAATCAGTAAGATGCATCCCAAATTTTGTTTTGGGAAGAAGTTACCAAACACATAGTGCACATCTTTCTGAACCTGCTTCTTCAGGACACGGGGATAACACCTCCCTTGTGAGGCTGGGGTGAGAAAGTCCACAGGAGGCACTCGTCTGGTTTCATGAGCAGAAAAAGCAGAATAGACTTCACTTGCTGACTAGGAAAGAAATTACTTGAATAACCAGAGAAGAGGGCTGTCTTTTGGGTAATCAAGAGAAATCAATGACAGTTTAAGCCCCCAACTGCCTTTATGGAGGACCCTTTTGTTCTGATGGGCACCTTGATGTGTTTGGATGGGTGAAGGGGACCGTGGGCTGAGAAGAGCCCATTTGTTCTGCATAAGAGAGAAGGATGAATTGGAAAATCTGACAGTCCTAGTGGGAAGAGGACGAGAAAAAAAGGAGGGGGAGTGTGTCAGACACTTCTTGGGTGCCCCGTCCACACCCCCTCTGCTTTCATCATCTGTGTGCACTGTGGGTGTGGTCCGCCAACCCCCAGCACCAGCTTCCCT